AAAAATAGTCCTTGCTCTTCGGGGAGCTGTATCGTATTCGCCCGAGATGTTGGATTTGGAGGTAGTTCCAGAAAGATCTCTAGGAAATGAACAATGGGAATTCACCCTGGGTAAGTGCGAAAATAATAAACAACGTCATACCATGGTCACAATCACTCACCCTTCGATTTTCATTGTTGATGTGCAACAACACCACCACATTGACATTTTAAAGTGTTGACAGTGTGCTTGCATTCGTTGTGAGCGATGTATATAAACGAACAAATCTCCGACGGTGCTTCAAAAACAGTGATGATAAGGGTAAATTTAACAAACCGCGTGAAATCCTTTCCAGCTTGCACTACTTGACGACAACAAACTTAAACTGTGGTCACCGAGAAACTGAGCCGTGCATACTCTTGTCCAATGACCTATTTCTTTATTGGCTTATTTTATAACAACACATTTTATTGTACACCTTTTTCTTTATATCACCACGACCACACATTATAGTCAACTTAGAGCGAGGCAATTTTTTAATGTTTTGAATATCTGACACCAAGTCATAAATATATATAATATTCCGGTGTATTTAATTGAGCACTGAGCTGGTGTTTTTATTTTATTTGCATTCACTCATACTGTGTGAATTACTTAACTGTAATTAGAATATATTTTCGATGAAAAGGTTTTTAAATACATGTATAATACAGGATTGCATTTGATTTATTATTAGACAAAACAAACATGCCACAGACCATGAACAAATCTGAACTCTGCATTCTAAAAATACACAATGTATAACATTATCATACATGAAAACATGACTAAAAGAAATTTCAAACCCAGCATCATTCTGAAAAAAATGGTCACTTAAAAACATCAGCATCCACCTAAAGTTAATTTATTAAACATCAGGGAAACATTGTCTATTAAATAAGTGAGTGTAGCATATTTCATTCTGGTACATAAATTCTGAAAACAATATTGCAATCTTTCATATTACAGTACTGTTACCAGTAATGTTATCTTTTCCTAGTTTGCCAAGTGGCTACACAGGTTGGTGTTACTAATAGCCTCCAATCAGAATCCTAAAACTATTTTACACTCAGCAAGAAAGTCCTTGTTAAATAATTTCAATCCCACAACTGTTATAAATTTGTTTGCTGCTGTTGTAATTTTCATTTACATATTTGTCTCATTATTTAATGCTTAAACTGACAAAATTGTTAGTTATCTATTTGAGACATACTTAACACTTTCTGATTTCATCATGGAATACTTTATGCAAGAATTATGATTCGCTGTGAACAAAATTATTACATTCATTGTTTTAAAGTATATAGTTCAGTTGTTTACTTTCAGTGTATGCTGTTGTAGCTTATGGTAGATTGTGAAGAAATCCGTGAAATATGCTCTGAAATCATTTTGATTTTCTGTGATTACTGCGTTAATCAAAAATCAAAAACTATGTGGAATAGTTTGGCCTGACATAATTCTAATCTTATGTTTTGTTTTCTTTGTTTAGGTATGCCATTTATGCAAGCAGTTAATATTCTTAAGAGACAGTGTCGAATTATCAAGAATGTACAAGTTGTATATAGCGAATCAGTAAGTAAAAAATCCATAATTTCCTACCCTCACTAATAAAAAACAAAACTTTTGTTAATTTTGATGTAGTTTGGATTGATTAAATTTATAATTGTACATAATTTATGTTCAGTCACTCTACGGTTATTTATTTATTTATTTCTGCGGAGAACAACATTCAGAAATCAGGACATACTCATTTGTTTAATATGATTAAATAGCACTATGAGTACTGTACTAATGGTATGAGTAAGATTTATGCCAGGTCTACAAGGATACTGACCCTAGATTACCTCCATGATGTTAACAAATACTAATAATTATGTGTCAAAAACTGAAAAATAGATCTTCTCTCTAAGGATATATAATTAGGTTTCTATTGTGACCAAAAAAAAGAATGAAACTGCAAATTGTATTGTGGTATGAGATACTGTTTTGCTAGCCAAATATTGCATAGTGAATCAATGGCCACATCATGAGCAATATAGCTATATCATTAGCAAAACAGTGTCTCATACTGCAATATTGCTATACCACTCTTTCTTGCAGTCACAGGCCATACTCGCCTTGACAGTCTTTTCTAGTTGTACTGTTTATTAGTTTCTCTGGAATTTGGCATGGTAACATGTCACAATGTGAACTGATCGATATTCTGAAATTAGACCATTTAGTCACTTGGCCTAAGAGTTATTGGCAACTGAAATAAATTTACTTATCTCATTTGTATAATTTTATCTGATCCACTAACTTTGAAGGAGAAGATTTTTGGGCAATACTTACCACTAGGTAGATTCATTCTTTGGAAAAATATTCATATTGATGGTGATAGACAGTGGGTGGTGATAGGAAGTGAGTAGGGATGGAGTGGCCTGGGAGTCATGCAATCTCTTTAATAATTGTAATATCTTAAGCACTGTTGCAAATAGTGGCATGCAACCGGTTCTAGAAAGAAAGCATCAGACAATGTATGTGACTACCATATCAGATGACCGTATTTGGTCATATGTACTGTTTAATGTGCATAACTGTAATATTTCAAGCACTGTTGCAGATAGGAACATGCAATATACAATCAGTGATCTAACGACGGGAAGACATCAAACAAGAGATGTGATTAATATATCACACCATACATGGACATGTTACCTAACAAATCTAAAGAACTGTAATATCTTAAGCACTATTGCAGTTAGGAACATAGAACCAGTGCCATAATGAAGGCATCAGAAAATTGATGTGACTAATATATCAGATGTTTATACATGGTCTTGTGACATCATTAATATACATAATTGTAATATGTCAAGCACTGTTGTAGATAGGTTAATACACTCTGTGCTATATTGAATCCATTGGTAAATATATGTGCCTGATGAATTAGACGATATATATGGTCATGTGACCTCATTGATATGCTTAAAGGGGAAACCGCTCAATCCCTTGGATTGCACCAAGTGCTCATGGGTAATTAACTCCGCCTCTGTCCACTGAGTAAATGAATGCTTATCTTTCTGCCTGTACCGCTAATCCCACAAAACAACTGATATAAACATCCTAAGAACGGATTACAATTTGCTTGTTTAAATATAACATAGCAATTGAATTTCAAACAAATACAGAGCAGTCTTCATGTACCATGATTTGAAACATCACGCACTTGGTAATTTCATGGACGTGGTAATTTATACATCCTCGGAAAAATATGACCCGGAACTAATTCAAGTTGATGATGGCCAACAAGAAAAGGCAGCAGTCCATCGGATACACACGACCAGATTGTTGCTAAACGGTCTTGAAGAAAATCCACCGACTCAAGTTTATTTGTCTGTTTCCGTTGCGTCGGTCTACTGACGGTACTGATCTCGTATACAGTAAACCTGAGAACGTGTATTTACAATTGCCCTCAAACTTCCACATAATATTGACTAATTGGTAGAGGTGACAATGAAAGTGTTTACTGTATATTATAAGTACAGGTTATTACACGGAAATTCCCATGATAAAATATCAAAATCATTAGTAAAGAAAAGTCGCCGCGACATCATGGGCTTATCTTGTAACCTGTTTAAAACACTCAGGTGGAAAATCAAAATGTACAGCCTTGTCTTCCGTGAAGCCTAGCCCGTATGTACACAGGTGGTACCGGCTTGTATCTCGTGTGATTTGAGTTCTTGTGATCTGGTGGGTGAACGTCGGGTTGACTTTACAGTCAAAATCAAATGAGCGGTGAGGGGGAGAAGAGCGTTCTGTCAAAACAATTTTACCGTAGACTTAATTTTAACGACCAATCTGCAGCGTTGTATTTATTATAAAATCGACGTTTTAACCCTGCGTTACAACCAACAGGCAAAAATAGCTGGGTGACGGTTAAAGTCTGTGCAACAACAACGCCGCTGTCAGACGTAGATTGTATAAAACACTGGACAATAGCATTTTGAACAGTTAATGCAATGGATATCCGAGAGGCCGTGACCAAATGCTATTGACATTGTTTACTGTCTTACATCGTCATGTCCCAGTGTTACCGATGCTTAGACCATAGACAAACTACATAACGATAATGCTGTTTGTAAATCAACAAGCTTTGTAGATTGAATAAACATCTAGAGGATCTACATTTTCTTTTACTCAAACCGTGATTGACAGGCATTTTGCATACATTAGCCACCATTTTAAACTCGTGATTTTCACTGGTCGCGGCACGTTTCGACCGAAAATAACAACATTTATACATCAAAAGCCCAACCAGATGAGTGTAATCGCTAGCGTACATATTCATGCCCCCGTGGATATGTATTTGGAATCACAGCTTGATCTCCAAACATTGTAAATGGCACATTTCACGGAGCTCCCGCCACGATGTGAGCGGCTTGGTTCGGATTAGCATACTAATACGGTGGCCATCTTGACCCTTATTTATAGTATCGGTTCCCCTTTAAAGGAAAAGTCAAGCCAAACAACATAATGCTTCCAAAAAAAAGCTCCACAAGTGTAGGAGAATTCCATTTATTATATATTATGTAGTTTGTCATCTTGATTTTCCAGCAAAGAATTATGGGTAAAGTGCCACATCATGAAAAATCATATAAAGAAACTGTAAATTGGATGTTCTGACATTTGCCGAGCTCTTTTATCTGGGAGTATTTTGTTGTTAGCCTTGATTTTTCCTTAAACTGTAATATCTCAAGCACTGTAGTAGATAGAGACATGCAACTAGTGGGGAAATAAAGGCATTTGACAATAGAGTGTGAATAACAAATCAGATGATAATATTTGGTTGCTTGGCATTGTTATTTATGCACATAGCTAAGTTCCAAAGAACTCTTGCAGATATACCGTATATTTACTACGATCAGGATATCTATAAATCGATGGACACTGGGATGAATGTTTGTCTAGCAAACTTTATAACCCATATCACCTTTTCAAGTGAGCTTTTATGTAATACTTTTGCAGTGCTGTCATACCTTGAATGCTGATTATTGCAGCAAAGCAGTCAAATTTCAATTTTTCAGCTCTACTGCTGACAGAGTGGAATTACTTGGGTTCCTATTACTGATTGTCTGTTGATGGTATTGTTAACTTCTTAAATACCCGACAAGTTTCTTTGTTGGTTTTTTGCCTTGCCCATAATGTTAAGAGTTAGGTATATTATATTTTGTCTGTCGGCATTGTTGTTGTCGTTTTTTGGGAAGGGGATAACTTGAGTATAAATTTTCATTCAAACAATGTCAATCGTGGTTATATCGTTCATGAGTATAAAATCTTGTTCAAGTTTGATTGTCAAAATATTGATGAATTTGTACTCCAAATCTCTAAATTTGTAATTGCTTATGCTTGACAGTTTAGAAACAGATGGGATATGCTTCACTGGTCAGAGTGGATAAACATTACTATCTGTATAATAAATCATTAAAACCCATGGGAAATATTAGATTCCTATGTCAACAGATTGATACAAGTTGCATCTTTAACAGAAAACAGAATTGTATTTATTATTAGTGCTTCCATATTTAACCTTTAGAGTATGGCTAGTAAACTTTTGTCACCTTTCTCAAAATAAACAAATTATTGAAAAGTTGAATAAAAACAAACATATATTGTAATGTTGGAAAAATTATGGTGCTCAAAAAATGTGTGTATCACAATAATATTTTTGTATTTTTTCTTGAAGCAATCAGCTTGATTGCTTTGATATTCAACATGTAGGTACCTTTGGGAGACCTCTATCAGATCTGTTCATTTTATGAATATTTATGTAAATATTTTTGTCATTTTTGATAAAAAAATTTTATTTCCAATCTACCAGCCATTGCTTTGATACTTAAGATTTGTTCATTTTATGACAAAATCATTAATTCCCTATTTTTAGCAAATATTTTTGTCATTTTTTATGGAAAAACTAACCGCCTGATTACTTTGGGTATTTTGGTGCAAATGATACATAATTTTGTTTGTAATTTTAATGTACACTTTAAAAGTTGTCATTGATAACTCTAAATTCATAGTCGTCGTCTGTCTGTTTTGTCTGTTTATCAAAACTTATTATTTTTAATTATTCATATTAGTCATTGAGTGCTTACATTTTTTTTTCTTTACTTGAGTGCTATCTTTTTAAGTTTGTTTATAACATGATTTTGATTTTGCCCATGATAAAATAAAGAGGACAATTGTACATGTACGAGTGCCAAAACTTGTCTTACTTTCAATGGATCTGAAAAAGGGCAAGGTAACCTGAGTTTAACTATGTTTTCTCACATGATTTATTATGTTTTGGTGACAATATCTTCAATTCTCAATTGAATAGCTATTTTTGACCTTTTCAACCCGCCTTTGATATCACTTGTCATAGAGCTGCTCTATTTGATAAAGTTACGTCATAGACTTGTATTATCCACAGACCGAAGGTTATGATGACGTCATGAATAACAACCTGCTCTATGAATGATATCAGGTAATAATGTTCAATGAAATTTAACATAACTTCGCATATGAATCACATGCTAATGCTTATTAACCATATTGTGTGAGGGTGTTGGTGAACATGCATTTTTAATAATTTGCTGAAATATTACCCTTGTTTCCATTTTTATTAAGGTAGCGAGACTATTATTTGTGTTGAAAATTACGATTTTCACATTTATTTATTAATTGATGAAATGCACCATAAACTTTCATATGATAAAGTCAATATAACATAGAATGTCATGTAAGTTGGTTAAAATATAGATTTTCTGAAGGGAAGCAAGGCAGCCTCAGTAGTGTTTTCCAAAATCAACAACACAGGTTTAATCTGTGTGCCTATAAGTTTCAAAGATAAACTCAAGACAAAGCAATGTTAGGATGTGTTATCAGTAGCTATCTGACACACAATGAGTGTTTCCAAACATTTGAGTGGTTTGTCTCCGCCCCTGTTTGTTTCACAGATTAGTCATTTGCATATGAATGTGTCAGACACAAGGTCACACAGCCACTGAAAAAAATTGATTGATTTTGGTGTTTTCATATGCCGAATTTATCCAATTATAGCTATCCC